GTGATGATGGCGTCCCCTGAGTCGAGTGTGTCGTCGCTGCTGGCCACATCCGGACGCCTGCGCAGCTCCATCCACCCAGAGCCCGTCTCCACCATCAGATACAAGGACAAGCCCTACGCTTCCGCCTCGCAGGCGCTCGACGCGTACATCTGGGACTTCCACAGGAGCCTGCGGGACTCTGGGACGGCGACCGGGGCGCTGGAGCTGCCCAAACCACCAGCTAAACCTCATCCCAGGAACAGAGATGGTGAAGGAGAAGCATTTCAGCACATCACTAGCTAATTCATATGATATGCAACATAAGCTCAATCATCACAGACAGATGTGACAACATTGTATTTCATCACAGTGTTATTTTAGTATCAATGTACAATTTATTATTTATTAATACTATATTATTAATTTTTATTAACATTTAGATGTAGTTTTTTATTTTTATATTTTCCTATTTTCTTGTCATTTTAATTTAAGTCTTAGTTTTTTGTCTTTTTTTTTCAAATATATTTCAAAAATATTCATTTTTATTTAAATTTTAGGTATAGTAATTTTAGTATTAAAAACCTACTTTATTTTAGTAGTTTGGAAAGTCACACATTTCTAATTCATTTAGTTTAAGTTTCATATATATATATATATATATATATAAATTATATAGATTTTATTTTTATATTTTCCGTTTTTAATAAAATTTTGGTTTTAGTAATTTTTTTTACTTTAAATTAAACTTGTTTCAGTTAATTGCCAAGTCAGCATTTCTAATTTGTTAGGTTTAATTTGTTTAAGTTATATATGTAAATGTGTGTGCATATGTTATATATATATATATAGTTATTATTATTATTATATATTTATTTATTTTAGCGAAAGTGTATTTTATTTTTTTTATTACAAGCTTGTAAGTGTTTATTTGCTGTGATTGACATGTGCAGTACTGAAGACGAGTTTGACGGATGGAGAGCTGGACTTCCTGAACATTCCCGTCCGGAAGAGAGACTCGGACCGGCTCAGTGTGACCACCGACGACCTCTTGGCTCTCCCGAACGACGGCTCTCTCCCCGTGACCCGCACCTCCGCCCTCCTCTCCCGGTCAGGATCCAGCTTTCCTTCGGGATTGAGCTTTAACTCCAGCTCCCGGTCTCAGAAACGCTCCTCACGTCGACCCGCTCCGCCAGCGAATCGGGATTGGGAATCTTTCCCTGTGGACGATTTACTGATGGGCTTGCGATCACATCGTCAGGCTCCTCCCCCTAACGTCCTGCTAGCCAATCGGACGCATCCACCCGACACGGCCAGATCCACGTGTCTCCCGCGCTGGATGACCAGCCAGAAATCTGAGATGGATTTTTCTGGGATGACCAGTGTTCCTGACCGGAAGTCCCCGCTGTGGCTCAGACAGTGTGAGGAACCGCAGAGCGATCCACCGCGCACTGTTCCCTCATGGGTCGGAGAGCTGGAGGAGTCCAGTCGCCACACACAGCCCAGCACTGGAGCACACCCCTATGGTAACCCAAACCACAACTCAAATCATGAAACAATTGGGAATTATAAAAATGTAAACATTTATTTAAAATAACTTATTGTATTTCAGGTAGTTGCCAAAGCACTCATTTTCATTTCAAATAAGTACAACTAAAATAAAAAGTGAATTAAAAAAACAAAAACAATATAGACATATTAAAAATGTCAAAAACAAACTGACTAAAACTTTAATTTAAATGAAAGTGAAAAATATTAAAAGAATTAAATATTAATAAAAACTGTAATACTATCTCAATGATACTAGAATATCTCTGGGATATTTCACCTAATCGTGACAATTAAATTATTATGAGCAATACTCTCCCCTTCATGCAGTGTTATTTATTTTACTATTATTAATATATAAATCAGCTGTAATAACTAAAACTATTAAAAACATTTCTGTTAATTAAAATAAAGCTGAAATATTAGTATATTAGACCTGAAATAAGTTTGTGTCTCTGTGTAGATGATCAGATTGTGTGTCTGGTGTTAAACACTTCTTCTCTTGTGTGTGTGTGTGTGTGTAGATGAAGTGTTTAACATCAGACACACAATCTGATCATCTACACACACACACACACACACATACACACACAAGAGAAGTGTTTAACATCAGAGACACAATCTGATCATCTACACACACACACACACACACACACACACACAAGAGAAGAAGTGTTTAACATCAGACACACAATCTGATCTTCTCGTGTGTGTGTGTGTAGATGATCAGATTGTGTCTCTGATGTTAAACACTTCTTCTCTTGTGTGTGTGTGTGTGTGTGTGTAGATGAAGTGTTTAACATCAGAGACACAATCTGATCATCTACACACACACACACACACACACACACAGACACACACACACGAGAAGATCAGATTGTGTGTCTGATGTTAAACACTTCTTCTCGTGTGTGTGTGTGTGTGTGTGTGTGTGTGTGTGTGAGTGTGTGTAGATGATCAGATTGTATCTCTGATGTTAAACACTTCTCTTGTGTGTGTGTAGATGATCAGATTGTGTCTTTGATGTTAAACACTTCTTCTCTTGTGTGTATGTGTGTGTGTGTGTGTGTAGATGATCAGATTGTGTGTCTGATGTTAAACGCTCCTCCTCTTGTGTGTGTGTGTGTGTGTGTAGATGATCAGATTGTGTCTCTGATGTTAAACACTTCTTCTCTTGTGTGTGTGTGTGTGTGTGTCTGTGTGTGTAGATGATCAGATTGTGTCTCTGATGTTAAACGCTCCTCCTCTTGTGTGTGTGTGTGTGTGTAGATGATCAGATTGTGTCTCTGATGTTAAACACTTCTTCTCTTGTGTGTGTGTGTAGATGATCAGAGTGTGTGTCTGATGTTAAACGCTCCTCCTCTTGTGTTTGTGTGTGTGTGTGTGTGTAGATGATCAGAGTGTGTGTCTGATGTTAAACACTTCTTCTCTTGTGTGTGTGTGTGTGTGTGTGTGTGTGTGTAGATGATCAGAGTGTGTCTCTGATGTTAAACGCTCCTCCTCTTGTGTTTGTGTGTGTGTGTGTGTAGATGATCAGAGTGTGTGTCTGATGTTAAACACTTCTTCTCTTGTGTGTGTGTGTGTGTGTGTGTGTGTAGATGATCAGAGTGTGTCTCTGATGTTAAACGCTCCTCTTCTTGTGTTTGTGTGTGTGTGTGTGTAGATGATCAGAGTGTGTGTCTGATGTTAAACACTTCTTCTCTTGTGTGTGTGTGTGTGTGTGTGTGTGTGTGTGTGTGTGTGTGTGTAGATGATCAGAGTGTGTGTCTGATGTTAAACACTTCTTCTCTTGTGTGTGTGTGTGTGTGTGTGTGTGTAGATGATCAGAGTGTGTGTCTGATGTTAAACACTTCTTCTCTTGTGTGTGTGTGTGTGTGTGTGTGTGTAGATGATCAGAGTGTGTCTCTGATGTTAAACACTTCTTCTCTTGTGTGTGTGTGTAGATGATCAGAGTGTGTGTCTGATGTTAAACACTTCTTCTCTTGTGTTTGTGTGTGTGTGTGTGTGTAGATGATCAGAGTGTGTGTCTGATGTTAAACACTTCTTCTCTTGTGTGTGTGTGTGTGTAGATGATCAGAGTGTGTCTCTGATGTTAAACGCTCCTCCTCTTGGTCTCTGTGAGCTGCTGAAGGAACACAACACTTCAGGAGAGACGGAGACGCTGGACGCTGATCGATCCTGGGACAATCCACCCGTGGCCTTGTGAGGGATTTAATCGCATTATTGATTTATTAGCAGAACACTTTGAATAAGATCATCTTCTAATGAAAGGGGGAAATGATATCTGACAGCTGTCAATCATAGGGTGTGTTCAGTATAGCACACTATTATCTGTTTCTATTGAAATACACAGTATACTGTTTAAACTTATTTTTCATGTAACGTAATGAGGTCGTGTGACAACCATAACAGCATACTACTGTTTGAAATGTTTATTATTATCACATACTGCAAGATGTTTCACTTATACGGTATATATTTTTATGCCATTTTAAGCCAAAAATAAATATGTGTTCCTGTAATTCAAAAGCAACACTAATGTTGGTAATGGGTTCGATTCCCAGTGAATGCATGACTAAAAATAAAGCCAAATGCATAAATGTAAAGCGTGTCCCATGATCTGTAGTAAACCTCCAGTACCAGTGGGTGGCGCTGATGACCCGCAGACGCCTGAAGAGCTTCAGAGGAGCAAGGTACAGTACGTGACGGCATTATGATTCAAACTCAATGCTGTGTAATGTACATCTGTACTGATATAAGTGTGTTAGTCCGCAGGCTCCTGTTCGTCAGGATACAGCAGCAGGAAACACCCCGGTCCAGTGGAGGCGCTCAAACACATGCTGTTCCGCCTACAGGCCGTCCAACACGACATCAGCCAATCACACGCGTCCACTGGAGCCCGAACACTGGAGAGAGAAACACTAGGGCCGGTACAGTAAACCAGGACAATAAACATCACTTCATTTCACTTTTGCTCTCGCTTTCTCATTATCTGTTGTGATGTTAAAGGTGCAGTCTGTAAGAATGACAACTAGTGGTCAAAATAGGCACTGCAGTCCAATTCAAAATATCGGAGATCGTCGTTTCTCCGTCGGGTTGCCAGGATGAGACACGCAACAGGAACGAAGGCAATGGAGAAATGAAAATTGGCATCGTGCAGAATCACAGACCAAAACAAAACAAACTTTCCATTCTGGAAACGCACATTTTAAAGTAAAATAACTGGCAGTAGAAGTGTTTTTCAGAGATCTTAGCATATTTCCTCAATATATGCAAACATATTATGGTATTTTTATGCTTTAGTAGAACACTGGAGCTGGAAATAATTTCTCATTATTTATTGTGATGTTAAGAGCTCATCTTTTCACATTAGTTGTTTGAGGTTTGTGTTGAGTTTTATGTACAAGCTTCAAAAACTATATCCCAGTTATCTTTGCTTTGTGGACATAAATAGCCTTCTTCTTTGTTTTAGTAAAGTCAGCTTGACAGGGAAGTTGCGCTTGTCTTTTCTTCCTCTATTGTGCCGTATATATCCGAGTGAAACGCTTCCGGAACAAGAACAAATGTAGGGGGCGGGGCTTGACTTTGTCTGTGAGGGATTGATTGGATGGTTGTGGTTTGCTTTTGGTGGATCTCAAATGAGTGACAGGTTATAGCCCCGCCCTCATCATCAGAGAAGAGAAGCTGCAAGAGAGGGGAAGTTATTCTGAAATTATTCCATAAACAAAAAAATTGGTCAATTTTTATTTCATTGTGAATTTAAGTGCCACCAAAATAAAAGATCAGTTTTGCGTTACGAACTCGATAAGAAATCTGCAGTTGCCTTTATTGGAAATGTATTGGCTGAATGTTTCATTTTGCATTTAGTGAACGAACAAATTCAAATTTATAAAACAAGATCTGAATAGCATCATGTTGTCAAGAATTAAACAGTTCCTTTTTACAATGTGGGAAACATCTAGTTTTGTCTCATTGTGACGTTCCAGTCTCTTCCATTGCAGACAAATCATTTGTATCTATTAATTCAGACAATATACAAAATGATGTACAAACAGAAGCAATTTATTCATAAATTGGTTATAATATTGAAGCGCTCAAATGCAAGTTCAGAGATGAAACTGCAAGCTTTAGAACCTCAAGTTTATTTTCTGATTTATTTTTCCTTCTGTGAAACACAAAATTGGATGTTATGCAGAATGTTCACGCTACTCTTTTCAACATGTGTGTTTTATACCGCTACGCTCAAAACAAGTGCCATAAAATATAAAGTATGTCATGCAATATATTCCTCTTAAGTCTTACAAAGCTCACACAAAGCTGACCTTTTGTGTTGTTGACGACAAAGACCATTGGTTCTCGATGTCATGTGACCAGCCAATCATGACATGGGAAGTTTATATATATATATATGCAACCTTAAAATTTTCCTGCATTATTCCTTCACAGTCTCTTACTTTTTTGTTTTTTTGTGATTGTATTTTTGATAAGGCTCCTCAGGAGGAAACAGAAGAAACTGCCATGGGAAGCGACGAGTCGTTACAGAGGTCAGGAGAGTCATGTGATCTCAGTGAAGTCATGTGATCTGAGTCATGTGATCTCAGTGAAGTCAAGTGATCTGAGTCATGTGATCTCAGTGACGCAGCGTTGCTCTCGTCTGTTGCTGTTCATCGTTGTTCTTTCGTCTGTTTTCTCAGAGCTCTTCTTCACCTGGACAGACTGAAGACACTCGTGGATGACATGAACGAGAGGAAGGCCAGAGCAGAGGATCATGGGACACATTGTAAACACACTCCTGCAGCGACTATCACAAACGGTGCCAGAATCAAGAAGCGGTTATGAATCAGAAATCAAAGACTGTTATTGTCCTACACACAGACGCTTCATGGATCATATTTGCTTAAATGTGGGATTTCTGCTTCCCAGTATCTAAAACCTCATGAAAGTTAATAAGTGTAAATAAACTTTTTAAAAGGGCACATGCTTTTACTGGCAATTGGAGCTGATCAGTGTTTGTCTAAAGTGTGTTTACATGACTTGCACAATCATTTAGTCTCTTATATTCCTAAAAATCCTAAACATGTTGCATTATATCACATAATACTACACAATCACATTCTTACCAACATTTACAAACATTTAGCTCTCCATAACTATCTCATCACATACAAGCCTTCTAAGTACATTGATACAATAAGTATACAGTTATCACACATAACATGCGTTATGAAAATAATGAAGTTCACGTAATGATTGAAAATAGTTTACTCAAAAGCAGGAACATGTGTTCTGCAAATGATCATTTAGTAATAACTTAAAAAACTTAAAGTAGTGGATCTAATTACCCTTGGTAAACTGTTCCAGTCTGAAGGAGCTTTAAATTTAAATGCCCGACGACCTACTTCTTTATTAATTTTAGGAACGTGAAAAAATAGTTGATCAGTGTTCCTTAAGTTATATGAAGAGCGAAAAGGAATTAGATATTGTTTTAGATACATAGGATAATTAAAGTAATGACATTTAAAAATAAACTGAAACCAGTGATAATGCCTTCTTGAATTTAAAGATAGCCAGTTTAATAATTCGTACATTTGGCAATGGTGCGTTTTGTATGGACACCTCAGTACAAATCTACATAAATTATTATAAACAACATTAAGAGGGCGAAGATTTGTATCGGAGGTGTTTTGGTAAATTATATCGGCATAGTCAAGGATTGGTAGTATTAACTGAGTAATTATTCTTTTTCTAACCGGACGAGTAAAGCAATTAATAGAGAGATAAAGCATTTTGAGTCGATATGATATTTTCTTGATAACTAAATCAATATGTGATCTAAATGACAGTTGTGAATCAAGCAGAAGACCTAGATATTTAAATTCATCAACTTTTAGCACTGGGGTTCCATCTATGAACTTAATTAAGTAGTCAGTTGGTGGTAAGATTTGTTTTGTAGTAAACAACATAGAATAAGACTTCTTTTTATTTAGCAAAAGTTTGTTATAACTAAACCAATTTTGAACTACGTCAAAATCAGACTGGATTGATTTCTGAATATAAGAGATGTCCGAGCTAGAAAAGTAAATTACAGTGTCATCTGCGTATAACTGAATTTGACAATTAGAACAAACTTGTGGAAGGTTATTTATGAAAACAGAAAACCATAACGGTCCAAGAGATGAGCCCTGGGGTACTCCTCTGTCAATAGTTTCAAAATCCGAACAACTTCCCCCCTGATACAAAACACATTGTTGTCTATGATGTAAGTATGAATTAAACCAAAGTAAAGAAGATCTTGAAAGTCCAATATCATTCAGTTTATCTAAAAGAAGATAATGGTCTACTAAATCAAAAGCTTTGGTTAAATCAATAAATAAGGCAGCAGTTAATTTATTAGAATCAAAAGAAGCTGTACTATCATTAGTCATTTTTAGAAGAGCACTTGTTGTAGAGAAATTTGGTCGAAGCCGGACTGAAAAGGAGATATAATATTGGAGTCATTAAAATATTTTGATAATTGAAAGAAAATAATTTTTTCAAATATTTTAACCACACTATTAATTGTTGAGATTGGTCTGTAATTATTAATGTCATGTTGATCACCGTTTTTATACGATGGAGTAACTCTAGTACGTTTCCAGGATAATGGGGTAGTACATGTTGTCAATGATAAATTAAATAAAGCAGACAAATGATAAGCCAGGACACGTGAGGCCATTTTCAGGAACTTGATTTCCAACCCATCTGGCCCTGCACTGCTATCTGAATCTAAACTGTCGATGACTTGCTGAACTTCTATTGGACTGATGAATTCAAAGGAGAAGGAGTTTTCACAAATATGAGTAGAAGTATTAAAGTTAGAGTTAAGATCAGAGAAATCAGTAGATATAGAAATCCCTTTGGTGAAAAATGTATTAAATGCATCAGCATTTTCGAAGGAATCGTTGATAATTTCATTATTTATTTGAATGAAATTAGATTGTTTTTTTGATGAGAAATTACTTAAGTTATTAATTCTGTCCCAAAATACTTTGGGATTGTTATAATCTGTCGCTAGGCAATCCTTAAAATAGTTTGCTTTTGCATTTCGCGTTTTTGTTGTGCATGCATTCCTCAACTTTTTATAAGTATCCCATTCTGTAGAATCCTTTGTTGAGCGGTGTTTTCTCCAAGCTCTATCTCTATCTTTGAAAAGATTGATTAAATCAGCATTTATCCAAAGCAAATGTCTTCCCTTAACTTGAATTATTTTCCAAGGTGCATGTTTATCAATAATTTTGGTAACTTCTAAATAAAAATAGTTCCAAGCGTCTTCAACAAATGGGATTAAATGAAATCTATCCCAATTAATGTTAGTCATGTCTAGGATAAAGTGTTCAGAATTAATATTTTTTGACTGTCTGACCCTAATTCATTTTGGAGGTAGTCGAGGTATAGTTATTTTCCAGACACAGTAGATCATAGAATGATCACTAAATGAGTCTGGTAAAACTCCCGATGAAATTATCCTACCTGGATGTGAGACTAGGATCCAGTCTAACAGGGATGATGACTTAGAGTCCGATCTGGTGGGTTCTGTTATAAGTTGTGTTAAGTTTGAACTACTAAATAAATTACGATCTTGCCTGCATGAGCCAGCTAGTCAGTTATTATTAAAATCACCCAGATCTATCATTTCAGTGTGAACATCCAGAGAATTAATAGTTGATATAATACTTTTAGTAGATTCAACCGGAGCTTTGGGGGGTCTATAAATATATTATTATTTGTTTATTTTTGTGCAAAATTATTTCAACAAATAGAAATTCAAAATGCAAAGGATTCTCCTTTGGTGTAGCAAGTTCTGAAACTAGTGTTGAGGAAATATATGTAGCCACTCCTCCTCCTCTAGAATCACGATCAGCTCTAAATAAAACATAATTGTCAAGTTTTATATCATCATCAGATATCGTACTATTGAGCCAGGTCTTAGAAAGTGTAATTACATTAGGTTTATTATAAGTAAGCCAGGCTCTTAATAGGCCAATCTTAGGTAGTAAACCTCTAATATTCAGATGAATGATATACATACCTTTACTGAAGTTCATAGTACAGTCTTAACATGAGAGTAGGCAAACAGTCCGACAGACGAAGCATAACAGTAATAGAGACTAGCAGTAAAAAGGTAGACAAGAGAGCTTACACACTCACATACACATTTCTACATAAAGACATAATCTAAATAAAAAAATCAAACAAAAAAAATCAGCCAAGCTCAGTCTGTTTTTTGCATTTTGTTGAATGGACTAGGAAATATTAATAATAAACTAAATTCACATTAATGGTCAAAACCTTGAGCATCCCGCCCCTCTCATTGGGGAAAAAATACAATTATATTATATATATAGGCCTATATATATATACACATATACATATACATATACATGCACATACATGCAACATCAGTAAATTACTATCATTTACCAGTCAAAAGTAATAAGCGATTCGCAAAAGTTAAGTCCATGCAGCTCAAAAACAAGGCGGTAATTTATAACGATCTATTATCAGACATTTAGGTGGTATACGTGTCGTGAAATTACGGCAATTTATATGATTTGCGGCAAATAAATGTCACATTAAAGGGGTCATGAACTGGCTTTTTAAATTGTTTTATATTGTTGTCTGAGGTCAACTTACGACGTTCGCTTGGTTTTTACATTCAAAACATCAAAATGAATAAGTAATAGTCTATTTTCTACCCTAGTTTTGAGCCTAGCTCAAAAACGCTCGGTTTTTATGGGCGTCTCGCATTGAAGACTTGGAAGTAAACGCCCACTGCTGTGAGTGGATAACAGTTTTGCATATTATAATGAGTTTCGTGTAATGCGCGAATCGGTGGGCGGGGCTAAACCGGCCGTGTTGAAGTAGGCGTTGATCTTCTTCTGCGGGGGTGGTGTTTTATCCTCTTTGTCGTCATAGTTCCCCACTTTGAAAAACGAGTCGTTTGCTGAGCCTGGTGTCAATAAAAGCTTTTATTGGACTAACAAGGACGTTTTCAGTTCTGAAACTTACAGGATATTCTTATAATTTGATGACCTCTTAACTGTCAAAAGCTCAAGGAAAATTTGATTTCTCAGTTCATCACCCCTTTAATTCAGCTGCCAATGTCCTGCTGCCCGCATCAGACCATGAAAAAACAATAAATCAAGAGTACCAAAGTAATCAAATTAGCAATTCAGCTGTTTAAGATCTGATACAAACAGAAAAAATACAGTCGATAGGACTATCAGAAAAATTAAATAGTGAAAAGGTAAAAGAATGAGAGTCATGCAGTATTACGGAGGTCAAGTCATCTTCATTTATATAGCGCTTTTAACAATGGAGATTGTTTCAAAGCAGCTTTACAGAGATAAACATACAATTTACGGTAACAGAGATTGTTTTGGTCCCATGGAAGTATCACGAAGAAAACCTTCCGCCTCCTCAGGGGTACGAAAAGTGGTGACCTTACCATCCACAGTTACCCTCAGTGTTGCAGGATACTGTAGCGAGTATTTGATTTCCAGCTCTCGGAGTTTCTTCTTAATAGGATCAAACTGACGACGTTTCTCGAGAAGAGCAGTACTGTAGTCAGGGTAGATGTAGATACGCGTCCCCTGACATTGTAGAAGTCCCTTCTCCCTGGCAAGTCGAAGAATTTTCATCTTGTCCTGAAGATTCAGGAGCTTTATCAGGATTGGTCTTGCACCCGATTTAGAGTTAAGATTGCGCACAGTTGGAGTACGATGTGCCCTTTCAATCACTGGTGACGTTGGAAAATTATCCGCACCGAGAAGCTGAGGAATAAGCTGCTGCATGAAGCCCAGTATGTCGGGATCCGCAAAAAACGGAGGTTATGTGACCGGCTTCTTTTCTCCATC